TGGTAATGTATTGTTAACTGGGGATTCTTATGAAATTAATTTTATTAAATCTTCCTACATATTTTTAATAAGAATTTAGTAGACGAAATTTTTTTAATTTTAAAATCTTAAATATTAAAAATTAGCATAGAAGGCATTGTATTCCAAAAATAGGTAATAGAGTTATGTCTTTTTCCTATGAGTTCTTCCATTTAATATTTTAGGGCTATTTTGGTATATTAATATTGTATTTATAATTTTATAATAATATAGGCTCTCCTTTTTCTAAATGGATTTGGACAATATAATACATTCTCAAATTAAATTAGTAACCGGACATTATCATACGTTTTCAAATTAATTTAGTAATAGAAAGTTTTAAGAAGTATATCCTAAAAGTAATAAGATTACCTGACTAAAGATATTTACTTGTTCAATTTTATATGAATTAGATAGCTAGAAAGTAATTATACTAATAGAATTTCTAAAGGTAATCATGTGGGATTTCTAACGTGTAGTATTATGTCCTAAAACTAATAGTATTATAAGGCTAATATCTAGAATTCCAGTTATGTCCTTTTATTATGAGTTATTATGCTTAATATTATAAGGTTATTTTTATAAACCGACATTGTATTCATGCTTTTATAATAAAAGAATTCAGTGTCATAAAGCGAAATCTGGAGGGAGAGCTCTGAAACTATTCAAAAATTATAATCGTACCACCTGTGGAAATTCTTTACTTTCTTTTCCATGAGTAACTCTCATAATTGGAAACTAAGTGTAATTTGCATAAGCTAACTTTTTTTTTTTTTTTGTTTCTTGCGTTTCTTTATAATAAAAATTTAAAGCGATCATAAATTTTTTTCCAAAACATTTAAGCCAACCAAACATGGGAAAATTAGAAAACATTTTCCGGAAAATGTTTTCCTTCCTACCAAACACACCCATAATATTTGAAAAGAATGAGTTCCCCTATTTCCGTCATAATTTTAACTATATTTTGCAAATTTTAATCCAGATATCCCTATTTGTTTATTTATGCTATATGACATCCGTGTTTTTCTCTTCACCAAGATTCGCATATCCTTTAACGACTTTAATTCGAAGACCAAATAGTAAAGAATAAGTAGATATTTACTTTTTCAATTTTATATGAATTAGATCGCCCGAAAGTAATTATTATACTAATAGGATTCCTAAAGGTAATCATGTAGAATTTTTAACGTGTAGTATTATGTCCTAAAACTAATAAGATTATAAGGCTAATATTTAGAATTCCGGTTATGTCCTTTTATTATGAGTTATTTTGCTTAATATTATAAGGTTATTTTTGTAAATCAATATTTTATTCATGCTTTTATAATAATATAGATATAAATATAGATAGATAGATATAGATATAGATAAATAAAACAAACAAAACTTGACAAGGCTGGCACGTGGATTGCTGGGCCAGATTCTACTACTACTACATATTATTCTCTTCCTTATTAGACCCTACCATTTTTCGTACCAAAAAAAAACACCCTACCAATTGTTCTTTAATTTTGAATGCATTAACATATTTTTTTTTTATATTAACTACAGATCTATAAAACTGAGAAATGCATCATCTAAACATACTGCACATCAAGTAAAATGGTCCATATTTTGTTCTAGTTTCTACTATTTCAGTAGAAATCAATCAATAAAAAAGAAAAAAATATTAGAGGCACGCTTTCTTTCATTTCAACTACCACTTCTTTTTCGTTTTTCATTTTGGCCTACGACTTTTTGTTTTACTGTACCAATTTAAAGGAGTAGTTACTAATCTTCTTTTTATGTTGCGTGATTCTTCTTCTTCTTCTTCTTTTTTTTTTTTTTTTTTTTT